TATGTGAACTGCTGTATGGAAAGTGAATTTGCTCTGTAAACTTTCACCCAAATCACAATTTTAAAAAAATCCAATTAATAAATGTAGAAGGAAAATAAATAAATCTAAATAGAATGAGGAAGAGAGAAAATCACCATTGGACAAACACCACAGTAAAAATTACTGTAGCAATAGCCATCAATGGATATTGAAACTTTAAGGAGGACTAGGATGTTTGTATATCTTCAGACTCTCTCGCTCAAAACATGTATTAATTATCGCAGGGTTTTTACATTCTGTCCACATATTTTCTGATACTCCTCACAGCTTAATTTCATGCCTCCTCAGGTGTGGGCTGGCTTTATCGACTTGTTTCTAAGGAATAGAGTATGGAGAGGGAAGAATAGTAACTGACAGTGGAGAAACCTAGCAAAAACCACCTTAACCACGTGATCCAAGTCAACATCACCAGTGATAAGTCATGTTGATATCACGGAACCCAGATGTGATGCAGTGAGGAAGGCATTTAACCTTTGTGGTAGATAGAGACAGATAGCTACCAGCACATCATCTCTGAGCCATGGTGATCCTTATTTACAACAGAACGAAATGCCACCCAGTACTTCATCATCCTCATGATCACTGACATTTTCAAGTCAATTATTACAGGTATTGTGCCAATCCATCTCACCAAGTATGGTAGTTAAGGTTATGTGTCAACTTGACTGGGCCTGGCTTTGAGTGGCTGGGCAGCTATTCTCCCTGATGAGACTGATAATCAGTTCCATGGTAGAATCTACTGTGACCAGCTGAGTAGCTGCCTTAGGGATGGGGTCTGGTTTCAGTATATAGGAAGAAGCTTTGAGGAAGTTCTCTAGCTTTTTGGCACGTCTGCATCCTGGATTTGGACGAGTTTCATTTTGGTGGCCTGCTGTGTTGTCTGCCAATCTTGAGACTGTTTCTGGACTTGAACTCACCTACTTTGGTCATGTTGTCAGAAGGAACCATTTTCTGGAGAAGGATGTCATGTTTGGTAAAGTGGAGGGTCAACAAAAGAAGGGAAGGCCCTCAGTGAGATGGATAGACACGGTGGTCTGCCATGTTGCTTGAGGATTTTAGGACTGTGCCATTTTACTTGCTGACCTTAGGTTTGTCAGCCTCAGCAGCCAGCAGCTGTCTAAGAGAAGCCTCCAGCTTCAGTGCGCCAGAGGCAAGAACAGAGCTGACACCTAGGGCCAAGGGGCTTCACTCAGCCTCTAGAACTGGCACTTTGAACTCAGACTTTTAGCTTCCTAAACTGTAAGAGAATAAATACCTGTTTGTTAAAGGGCCTCCATGTGAGGTGTTTTTTTGTTAGAGAAGCACTAGAGTACCAAAACAGAATTTGGTACTGAGAGAGTGGGGTGCTCTGAGAGACACCTAAAATGTGGAAACAGGTGTGGAGTGTGTCTTTGAATACAAGACCCCTGTGCTGAGAATCGTGCACTGAGATCAGACAGACCCCGGCAGAGAGATCTCAGCAGAGACATGGCAGCAGCAGAGCTAAGAGACCGTCATGAGACAATGACAGGTTTGCCAGCCCATGGAGGAGAAAGCTGAGTGTCTTTAGGGCAGGAAGATTATTGGCAAGGTAGGTTGCCCTTGGGCATTAACTGGCAGAAGCTGAGAGAGCAAGAAAACAGGAAGTAGAGCTGCCTCAGCCTCAAAGCGTAGGACCATGGCTTCTGGGGGTGGAACCACCACAGCTCCCTAGGTTTCAAAGAGTTAGAACTTAATCAACTTGGTTCTGGAGTGTGTGGCTGCCTTTCATGAGAGCCAGTGGGATGGGGCATATCCACTGCCCAAAAGTGAGGGGGCAGGGCCACCATGCCCAAGGGGCAGGGGTATGGGGCCTGCCAGACCAAGAGGGTGAGTCACCACTCATATGGACTAGGAGCATCAGGCCACCCAGTGAAGGAGATCAGTATAGGTGCCAAGTTGACAAGGGCTGGAATTGTGGTAGTTAAGGTTGTGTGTCAACTTGGCTGGGCCAAGTTGGTTTTGATTGTCTGGGCAGCTGGATGTAGTATTCCCCATGATGAGACTGGTAATCAACTCCATGGTGGAATCTACTGTGAGCAGCTGAGTAGCTGCCTGAGGGATGTGATCTGCTTCCAGTACATAAGAAGAAGCTTTGAGGACGGTCTCTCGCTTTTTAGGAGCCCTGGTAGTGTAGTGCCTAAGGCACTTGACTGTTAACCAGAAGACTGGTGGTTCGAACCCACCAGCCACTCCTTGGAAGGAGGGTTGGGCAATCTACTTCCATAGTGATACTGCCTCAGAAACCCAAGGAGGGCTCGCTGTGAGTCAGGTCCAATTCAATGGCACATAACAACAACTCTAGCTTTTTGGCATATCTGGATCCTGCATTTGGTCAAGTCTTCATCTCAGTGGCCTGCCATGTTGTCTACCAATCTTGAGACTGTTAATGGACTTGAATTAGTGCCCTTCTGTGTGGTTTGATAATTTTGGGACTGTGCCATTTTACTTGTCAACCTTGGGTTTGTGAATGTCAGCAGCCAGCAGCTGTCTGAGTTAAGAGAAGCCTCCAGCTCTTGTGGACCAGAAGCAAGAGGCAGAGCTGAAGCCCAAGGTGGAGGGGCTTTCATCCAGCTCCTAGAGCTGGTACTTTGAACTCAGACATCTAGTCTCCTAAACTATAAGAGAATAAATGCCTGTTCATTGAGACCTTCCATTTGTGGTATTCTCTGTTACAGTAGCACTAGAGAAGCAAAACACCTTGCTGGTCTTCTACTTCACCAAGACCTTCCTTGCCCTTGCTGGCCTTCTACTTCACCAAGCATGATGTTCTCCTCAACTAATTGATCCCTCCTGATGATGGAGCCAAAGCAAGCAAGTCAGACAATGGTCTGTTGTGATAAATAAGGTTTTTTTTCAGCTAATTTTCTAAACTAGATTTCCAGCCCTTTCTTCCTAGTCTGTCTTAGTCTGGAAGCTCCATTGAAATCTGTCCACCATGGGTGACCCTTCTGGTATTTGAAATACTGGTGGCATAGCTTCCAACATCACAGCAACATGAAAGTCACCAGAGCACGAACAAAGTATACCTTTGTTGTAGCTTCTCCCAAACGCATAACCTCGATCTAATTATGACAAAACATCTGACATTTGTCTCAAATTGAGAAACATCCTACAAAATACAGAATTATTCAGAAATATCAAGGTCGTGAGAAATAAGGAAAGATCAAGAAATCATCACAGATCAGAGGACACTAATGAGACATGATAAGTAAATGGCACGTGATGTCCCAAATGGGATCCTGGTCCAAAAAAGGCCATTAGTGGGAAAACTGTGACATGTATTTCAGTTAATACTATTATACCAATGTTAGTTGATTTCTTAGTTTTGACCAAAATACTGTGGGTACTCATAAGGTTTTCATAAGAAGTGCAAATGAGAAGAAACAGCTGCTGCTGTTGTTGTTATTATGTGCTATTGAGTCGTCTCTGACTCATAGCAACCTTATGTACAACAGAAGGAAACACTGCCCAGTCCTGTGTCAGCCTCACGACCCCTACTATACCTGAGCCCATCACTGCAGCCACTGTGTATGTCCATCTTACTGAGGGCCTTCCCCTCTTTTGTTGACCCTCCACTTTACCCAATATGACATCCTTCTCCAGAGAATGGTCCCTTCTGACAACATGACCAAAGTAGGTGAAACAAAGTCTGGCCATTCTCGCTTCCAAGGAGCAGTCCAGCTGCACTTCCTCCAGGACAGATTTGTTAGTCCTTTTAGCAGTCCATGGTACTTTCAGCATTCTTTGCCAACACCACAACTCAAAAGCGTCAACTCTTCTTCTATCTT